CTCTCTCTCTCTCTCTCTCTCTCTCTCTCTCTCTCTCTCTCTCGCTCGCCCCCTGTCTATCTTGGTCTCACACACACGCACGCGCGCGCGCACACACACACACACGCACACGCACACGCACACCACACGCACACGCACACACACACACACACACACACACACACACACACACACACACACACTGCTATCACTCTTTCACTCCCCCTCTCTCCCTCCCACTTTTCTGTTTGCTCTCGCCAGAGAGAAGAGAAAGAAAGACGGAAGGAAATCATTCGTGGTAAATTAATGGATATGTATAAATGGATCATAGATCATGTAAAAACAACAACACATATGACCCTCTAACATGTCCGATATGTCTGACTGATTATTTTATAGGGTAAGAGACCAACCAGTACGGAGAAGCAGGCAAAGATACCGGCGCTGGTAGAGCCATGGTTCCTGTTCGCACTAGTCTGGTCTGTAGGCGCAACGTGCGACAACAATGGGCGCTCAAAGTTCTCTACTTGGTAGGTTGCTGTGGTGACTTCACATAGTTCTGAAAAACTTTCGATGCTGAGCTACTAATTTTTTTCATGGAATTTGGTATATATGCAAGCAGTTGCAGTTTTTTTATTCATTTGCCTTTACACATTATTCTTGTTTATTTAATCATTTTATCTTAATGTGTTCATTCAAATTTAACTACTCAACAGCAATTTATTTTTTTATGTAATTTGTTGTGCCTTTTTGACAGATTAAAATGATTTATTTATCAGGTTGAAATGACATCATTTACAGAATCATTTCGTTGTAATTATTGACGTAAGCAGGGATATTTGATACATTCATTATTTTAGTTGGGAAGTGCGTAGTCTGCTTAATATAGTAATAGCTATGGAGGCGGGTTTTATAACTGGCCTAGTAGAATTACTTCAGGATAATTCCTTTTAATCATGATAGCTAGAAGGATGATGTAGGCCTACTTCTAGGGAACATGGCGTCTTGTCGTCATGCAGTAACATTTCCATAGACACCACCTAATCTCAATGACTGAAATAGTGTAAATTTAAACAATTATCTAAATTTTAATCACATTAATTGCAATGACAGTGTGTTAGAAATTAGACTGATATATCTAGGAAACTACATCGAAGCATTTGCTGCTATATGCCTTATTATTGTCGTGACAACTATAGTCATTTATGTGTGTTCGTCGGATATTCGAGTGACCGCTCCTGAACAGATTATTTGTCAATTACTGCATTGATCGCATAATAATCGCTAGACGCAATTAATAACAAATCTGTGACTAAGGGCCACGTACCTACCTGGCCTAGCTATCCGATCTATCAATGCAATGAATATAATCGCACTAACGCATGTGGATTATTCTGGATTCATCTGTCTGTTTGAGTATTACAAGGTAATTTGTGGCGAAGGTAACTTGCCACCTATTACTTATAATATATAATTCCTACCGACCCCGAAAAATAGCTTCGCACGTGTGTGGATGAACTGACTCTAGAACAAAGTTAACAAAGGATGTTTATTATACGTTAGCTGAAGCAGGTTCTGGACCAACTATAGAAGACATAGTATATGCTGATATAAACACATCGTAACAAAATCGTTACAAAATCGTATTAACGACACTAACTGTCGCAAGCCCAAATAATTTTAGACAGTAATAACCTGCATATTTCATTACATTTTGTTGAATTTATTCATTCATTTATTCATTTATTTAAATGAGTTAGTATTTCATTTAAAAATTAACTGCCAGATGGTGCTCATGTAATTAGATACAGTGCATTCAGAAGCTTGCGGTTACTACGAGGTCTTACTAGCGATATGCAGAGTGCGCAGGCCGATGCCGCTGCGTGACAGGGTGGCGTGGATCCTCCCCTCCCTCTCCGGATCCTGCCCGACTGAAGCTGACAGCTATCAGGTCTATTACAGATTTAAAGATTATGCTTGGTTAGCTGCTTCCGATGGTGCTGATAGTTATGGCAGGATATATATATACGCGGATGGAGGTCATTCTAGCAGCGATCGATATACTCACAAGTAATGTAGAAATATCACGTGGCGGAATGTGGAAGGCGTATGCGTGTCAGGGATGTGCGTGGTACGTTGCTTGCCTATAGAGCTTTGAACCGGCGTCTCGGTCAGCTTCGAGCAACGTTCGGAATTTCAAACGGGAAGTAGGTCATCAGTCTGTGAAAGTGTGATTTCAGTAGTTGTAAATTAACCTAAGAAAAACCAATACGTGTTCGAAGGCCGCAGTAGATCTTTACTCTTTTTCTACCAGTATTCTAAATTCGACTCGATTTGTGAATGCGTTTCTGCTAGCTGCGTTCGGCCGCACACAAAACGGCAGCCGGCTTACCAAAATTCGACAGTTTTCGATAAAGAAATCTGAGACCGGCAGTCTGCAGAGAAGATGCGGCAGGCTTCCTCCTTCACTCCCCTCTTAGCCGTCTCACCCCCCCGCATCCATTCCCTCCGTTAACATTATAACCAGGGTGTATGTAATGTAGGCGAGATACTGAGGTGACAAGTACGTAAATATTATTATTATTATTAATTATGATAATAATAATAATCTTAATCATAACGCTGGAATAACGCAAACGCCACATTCTTTCGGCAGGTTGAGAGAAATGACAGCAAGCATGGCCGTGCAACTCCCGTTCCCAGAGGAAGGTCTTGTTTACGACTACATGCTCGATGATGGAGGCGTCTCACTAGAGACGGAGGACGAGGAGGAACTCGGGCCGGTGCGTTGAATGGCCGACGCCACTTGTTTTTTTTACTTCGCCATCTTTGGTCACGTTTACAGCAGGCACTTATATTAAAGTTCACCTAGCCGGAGATCATCACTAGATCTCGATTTTCTAGACATTGGTGTTGCTGCACTAGAAGTATTACGTAAGGCCATATAGGCAAAACGGCAGACAAAACTGATATGTTATCCTTCGTTGTATTAAATGAAAAGATGCCAATTAAATTCCCATGATTTAAAGCTTCCCAAAACTTTAAAAAGCTAGCGTATATTAATGACTTTTTTTGAGCAATTTTTTGCACGAAATATAAACAATGGCAGTACAGTAACTTGTATATTTTTTTAATTATGCTTCTATTTTGCTGTTACGTTTGATGTAAGTATAGACAGTTGCAATTTACACATGGCTCTTATAGGGTGCAATTTTGGGGCACAAAATAATTCTGGTTATCCAATAGTTCAGTATTTTGTATTTTTTGATGATTGAAAAACTTTATTGGCTAAGAGTTTGAGGATGTATTCAGTGCTATAAGTAATTGCTTTTTGTGTAAAGAATTTTGCAACAACAAAATTTGCATACGCCTCGAAAAACTCGTGTCATAGTTACTTTAAAAGGTTTATCATTGTAGTAAGCAAATTTGGAAGAATAATACTGAAAGGATTATGTACTTTTTGGTAAGATGTAGTGCACTTGTGTGTAATTTGTATACTTGTGCTATGTGTACCTGTGTGTTAGCTACTGTTGTTATGTTGTTATTGCTGTTGTTGTTTTTGTTGTCATAATAATGGTAATTAATATTATTATTATTATTGTTGCTGTTGTTGTTATTACTATTATTATTGTTGTTGTTGTTGTTGTTGTTGTTGTTGTTGTTGTTGTTATTAGCTCAGGTGACGAAGTCAGATGTAGCTTGTAGAATCGCATGAATGTCCGTCCGTCCGTCCGTCCGTGTGTCAACAGTTACGGCACAAATCTTAACCGTTCGACGTATGGTCTTGATATTCGGGACGTCGGGGGATCGTGAAAAGGACTCGGGATGTCGAATTTGGGGGGCAAGGGTCAAAGGTCAAGATGTGTCAATGGAGGGGGAATATTTCCCCCTTAACTTAAGGTATAGGAGGAAATACGGAATTGCGGCACAAATCTCAACGGCTCGACCTACGCTCTTAATATTTGATGTATAGTGTGATGGGAAGGAAACCCATCACCAGTGCGAAATTGGAGGTCACAGGTCAAAGGGCAGTGGGGGGAAAGGTCAGATGTCAGACATTTTCTGAGGACATGGTCTAACAGACCGAGTGCCAAACTTTTTTGTTTCAGCGCTGACCTACCATTTTTATCACTTTATTGAAAGGACCATGAAATGTACTTTCCGCTGACGTGCGAAGAGTAAGTGTCTGATAACCTTTTGACCCTCAAAAGGTGGGTTATAAACATGGATTTGTTGACTGTTAACAAAGGACTGAACGCTTTTGCTATTAGAGCCCTCCACCCACCACCACCACCACCACCACTACGCTCGCGCTCGACGCATATCCATGATAACATGTTAATATAGCGAAGTCATTAAAGTTACACAGCTGTATCTTTATTACTGTACGTACTACCGGTATAGCAAAGCCTATCATAGATTTTAGATCTGTATTAGTATAGTATCTTCAGCTCTGAGCGCGAACGCGGTGGCAGGAGGGCGCATTTGATTCGGTTGCCAGTGAGTTTATCAGAAGAATACCCGGCTACAGTACACGTCAGTTGAGCGCTGTCGCTCTGCGGCACTTGTTTCAATTATTTTTGCTTGTTATTACTAATCTTATTTGCCTTGTTGTAGTCACCGTAATTGGCTTTCCTGCCTATTCGTCATCCATCCACCCCTTGAGTTCTTGCTGAGATATCTTGCCCTCGCAGCAGCGATACTTTGAGGTGGCTAAATTAAATGAAAGCATATATGCATGAACACGGGCATGCACTCAGGTTAGACAGGACTGCAATCACATCGCCTTTATGCGACGCAGATTACATGGAAAAACTGGATGGCGGAGACACCGACGTACACAATCACTGCTGACATGAACTTCTCCGACATAATAGTGCCTACGATGGATACTGTGCGTACGTCACAGCTACTCGAGATGCTGGTCACGGCCAATAAAACAGTAAGTATACCTTCGCGTCGTCAATGCCAACAGAGAGTTCGGGTTATAATGAAGCATATCTGATATGTCTGTCTGTTTGCCTGTCTATCCGCCAGTGCTCGCCTGCCTTCCAGCCCACGGGCACTTGGAACGTCTCAATAAAAAAAAGGTAAATAAACACGAAATGTATTTACTACCAAACTCTTAATGTTTCTCTGCTCTTTTTCGCCTATTATTGCCTATAACTTCCTGTAAATGCCGTTGAAATGCTCCTCTGCAACACACGACTACACCGCATGCACGCCGCTGTGCGTTATGCATTTCGTGTTTATTTACCTTTTTTTATTGAGACGTTCCAAGTGCCTGTGTTCCAGCCTGTCTGTCTCGTGCCGTCAGGTTATATACGCTCTACGCTATTCAAGTAATTCTGGATACTGCAGCCGCGTTCGTAATTAAAACAGATGGCGATACGTAATGTCCCGATGTGTAGTCGATCTCTCTCTCTCTCTCTCTCTCTCTCTCTCTCTCTCTCTCTCTCTCTCTCTCTCTCTCTCTCTCTCTCTCT